CATCACGCCCACGCTCATCATTTTATCATCACCCTCATTTTCATCACGCGCACCACCCTCATCACACTTCATCACGCCCACGCTCCATCATTTTATCATCACCTCATTTCATCACGGCACCACCCTCATCACATTCATCACGCCCACGCTCATCATTTTATCATCACCCTCATTTTCATCACGCGTCACCACCCTCATCACACTTCATCACGCCCCACGCTCATCATTTTATCATCACCCTCATTTTCATCACGCCGTCACCACCCTCATCATCACGCATCACCCTCATTTTTCACGCGTCACCCCTCATCACACTTCATCACGCCCACGCTCATCATTTTATCATCACCCTCATTTTCATCACGCGTCACCACCCTCATCACACTTCATCACGCCCGCGCTCATCATTTTATCATCACCCTCATTTTCATCACGCCTCACCACCCTCATCACACTTCATCACGCCCACGCTCATCCATTTTATCATCACCCTCATTTTCATCACGCGTCACCAACCCTCATCACACTTCATCACGCCCACGCGGCCTCATTTCATCACGCTCACCACCCTCATCACACTTCATCACGCCCACGCTCATCATTTTATCATCACCACCCTTCGCTCAACTCGAGCCCAAGCGAAGAACTTTTTCTATGTGTAAACTGATTCAGGGATCAACAACTCCCGTAAAGTAATTTCAACTTTTATTTTTCTTTAATTTCTTGGTTGTTTTTATTTTGTTTGTGTGTTTGTTTACTTGTGTTATATATTATCTCTGTTTTTTTATTATTTTATTTTATTTTTATTTATTTTTTATTTCTATTTGTTCTTAACTTAATTTCTTTTTCATCTTTTACTTATTTTATTTTATTTTTTTTTTTTTTTTTTTTTTTTTTTTTTTACTCATTTTCTCTTTCTTCGTCTTCCTTTTTTTACATATTATTTTAAACTCATTTTCTTTTTCGTCTTCTTCCTTTTTTATTTTCTTTTATTTATTTATTTATTCATTGTTTTACTTATTTTCTTCTTAGTATGTAACGGCAGTGATTTGGTATTAGTGGTGATGATAATGGTGATGATAATGATAGCTGTGATGAGTGTTATTATTATTACCAATATCTTTTATAATCAACATTATTAGCTATATATTTGTTTATGATCATTGTCAGGTTGTTGTTTATTGCTATTGTTATTATTATCATTATTGTTATTATTTTCATAATGATATGATTATGATACTATCATTCTCATTATCTCTCCCTCTCTTTCTCTTCTTTTTTTCTGTTTTGCTCCATCCCACTTTCTCTCTTTGTTTCTCCCCGCCCCACTTTCTCCCTTTCCATTATTGTTATATTATTCTCATTGTCTCTCTGTCTCCCTCTTTTTTCTCCTTCTTCTTTTCTCTTTTCAGCTCCCTCCCACTTTTTTTTCTCCCTTCCCACTTTCTCCCTCTCCATGATTGTTATATTATTCTCATTCTCTCTCTCTCCCCTTCTCTCTTCCCTCCCTCTCCCCCCCCCCTCTTCTCTCTCTCCCCTCCCTCTCCTCTCCCTCTCCTCCTCCCTTCTCTCTCTCTCTCTCTCTCTCTCTCTCTCTCTCTCTCTCTCCTCTCTCCCTCTCCCCTCTCCCTCTCCCTCTCCCCCTCTCCCTCTCCTCTCCCTCTCCTCTCTCTCCCTCTCCCTTCCTCCTCCCTCCCTCCCTCCCTCCCTTCCTCCCTCCCCCCCCTCTCTCTCCCCCTCGCCTCTCTCTCTTCAGCCCATCCCACTTTTTCTCTTCTCTTCCCTCTTCCCCCCTGCCGCTTTCTCTTTGACTTCCTTCCCCCAACTTCAAAAACATGTTGACTTGTAATAGACCAAACTTGGTGTCGATTCTTTCAAAAACTTTGATCTTTTGTGATAAAAGCGAAAACCAGAAGCATCGCCATTATTTTTTCCCCCTGAACTGTGACCTTATTTTTTGTTGTCATTATTTCTTATCATTTTCATCATGGATGTTTATGTTATCATTATCATTGTTTTCCTAATCATTATTTCTGTACTGAGTTATGACACTATTATAATTATCATTACCTTATTAGTATTGCTATCATTATTATCTATCTTCATCATTATTACTTATTTTAGCATAATTATTATTATTGTTCGTATCATCATCTCTATCGTTATTATCATTAATTCTATTATTACCATCAGAGAGAGAAATTATCTTTATGTTATGTATACATTTAATATTGAGTTTAATATTTATCTATCATCCAAGAGACATAAGACTACAATAAAATGAATGCCAAAATGTATCTAATCTATAACACATGTTTTTAAAGTCAAAATGTATCAAATCTATTACGCATTATACTTATTGACGTGTATCCTATATCTACCAACATACGAATATACCTGACCGTTCTATGACAGTCGCGTGTAGGTGTAGAATTTTAACTCAACCTTTTCAACAACTAATTTCCATTCCCCAAAGATGTTTTTAAACACATGGGCTCGCGTGTAGATGTGGGTCTGCCAAGATATTATGCAAAATACGTTTTCAAAATCAGGTTTATGGTTTTAAAGGACGTGGTTTCGCTAGATTTTTATTTTTCCTATTTTATCTTAATGTTGAAAATATAAAAAGATCAATAAAACGAGGTTATTTTGGAGGTTTAGATGCAAATGTTCTGTCAAGGTCGGAAGGTTGTAGAAAACGTGGGAAGGGGGGAGGACAAGAAAGGAGGAGGAAGGGTGAAGGATAAGAAGGAAAGGTGGAGAGAGAGGAAAATGGTAAGACGAAGAGAGAAGAAGTGGGTGGGAAGGAGGGGAGAAGAAGAATAGTAAGGGGAGAGAGGATGAAAGGGAGAGAAGAGGGAGAAGCGAAAGGGATAAGAAGGGGAAGGGAGAAAAGGGAGTTGGAAACAGAGGGAAAAGGAGGAAAGAAGGAAGGGAGAAGAGAAGCAAAAGGAAAGAGGATGAACAGAAGGATGGATGAAAAGGGAATATGAAGAAGGAAAATAGAGGATAGAACTAAGAGAAAAAAATCTACCAATGCGAATTAATGTATTTAAGAGAGTGAGATGAACTGAGAGAGAGAAAGAGAGAGAGAGATAGATAGATAGAGAGAGAGAGAAAGAGAAAAATAAAGAGAAAGAAAGAGAGGAGAAAGAAAGAGAAAATACATATAAAGTGATCAAAAATGAAAAAAAAATTAATCTATAAAAGAGCGAATTTATTGATAGTTTAAAAAAGAAAACGGAAATAAAAGAAAAAAATATTTCCTTTCCAGCACGCTTGAGGGGAGAGAGAGACATGAAAACCATAATTACGCTCTCCCCTCACTCACCCTCCTCCTCTCCTCTCCTCCTACCTCCCCTCTCCTCCTCTCCCTCCCCTCTATCACTCCCTCCTCTCTCCCTCTATCACCTCTCCCTCCTCTCCTCCCTGTATCATCTCTCCCCCTCTCCTCGCTCCCTCCCTCTATCATCTCTCCCCTCCCTCCCTCTTCACCTCTCCCTTCTATCATCTCTCCATCTCTTCCTTCTCGCTATCATCCTCTATCATCTCTCCCCTCTCCCTCCCTCTATCACCTTCCCCCTCTCTCACTCTCCCTCCCTATATCACCTTCCCCTCTCCCTCCTTCTCCTTCCCTCTCTTATTTTTTCTATTCCCTCTGTTCGCCTTCACTTATCCTCTCACATTCTCTCTTCTTTGTATCTCTTTTGTCTTTCCTTTTCATTTCCCTTCTTTACATCTTATTTCTCTTTTCCCTCGTTACTTTCCTTTCCCCTCCGTTCGTTTTTCATTTACATTTTTTCTTTTTCTTCTTTCTCTTCTTTATTTTTCATTCTCTTTTATCTCCCTTTTACACTCCCTTCTCCTCTTTCTCTTTCCTTCACTTCACTCCCTTCATCACTCTTCTCTTCCCTATCTTCCATCCCCCTCCCCTTACTCTCCTCCCTCCTTCCTTCCCCTCACTCCCCTACCCCCCCCCTTCTAACCCCACCGTGTCAAGAACCTCCTGCTTTCCCCTTTCCCTCCCCCCTCCTCCCCCCTCCATCCATCACCCCCCCCCTCTCCTCTTACGACCCCCTCTACCCCCCTTCCTTCCCCCACCCCTCCCCCTCGTCTTACGCCCCCCTCCCCCTTCCCCCGCTCTCACTGGTGATTACATCGTAAAAATTTTGTGGCTGGAATAGGCCTATAGACTTCGTTGCGCCCCATCGACCTGCCGCGAGACGGGCATAATCAATTTTTCCCTTCTCTCTCTCTCGATACATACATACATACACACACACACACACACACACACACACACACACACAACACACACACACACACACACACACACACACACACACATATATATATATATATATATATATATATATATATATATATATATATATATATATATATATTTGAATATACATATACATACGGATATATATAAACCTTCATTCTCCCTTTCCGCTTGAGCTTTCCACATCTTGCGTAGACATCAACAATCCTCTCTGTCTCTCCACAACCCACTATAACCTCCACCGCCGGGTTTGTATATCGTGCGTCGCGTGTTTCTCTCGGCCCCGGATTTTCGGAAACCCCGTTGGTCAAGTATTAATTTTTTCTGACTCACCGACGTTTTGCACGCATTATCTTTTATTTTTAAACTGTTTTTCCTCTAATTCATAACGACATAATGCTGTCGAGTGGTGACGTCACGAGATGGGCGAGCGGGTGTAGGTGTCGCTGTGGTGTTGCGTTTGACTCGGGTGTGGTGTGGATTTCGTGACTGCGGTGGTGAGGACGGCCTGTGGTGAGGCTTGTGAGGGCGCTGAGGTGGTGATTGGCGGTGAGGATTAGTGATGTGATTAGTGATTCCGTTTAATCACAAGGGGTGGGTTTATATCATTGCTGACAGGGAATTCAGACTTATTCTTATTTTGACTTTGTTTTTCCTCGCGTTGCTAACAGGGAATTCTTCTTCTTGTTTTGACTCTGTTCTTCCTCCTCAGGGTCGCTACAGCAGCTCGGTGGGCGACTTGAGACGAGGGGGAGGCGAGCTGGAGGGTGAGGTCGTGATCGAACTTGACGATGAACCCCGGAAGGCCTCGTCGACCTCGATCGCCGCCGTGTCGACCTCTTCGCTCTCGAGAGTGAACCACCGAGTCAAGGGGCGAGGAGGGCCTTCGGAAGACCTCGTCCTCGACATCCACGATGAGGACCCGAAGACCACCGCGCGCGTCGCCAGGGCCGCCAAGTACTCCCGGGGCAAGGTGAAGCGCAACGTCGAGGAGGAGATCACGCTCGCCCTCGACGACGACGATGGAGCGGACAGTGCCTTAGCCAACCAGAACCTCCGCCACAACTCCATCCCCAACATCGTCGTCTCGCAGAACGCCGACGATGAGCCCTTCGACCCCGACCTCTCCCGCGTCTGCGAGGACTACGACGAGGACATCATCATCGAGGACCTGAGGACGGGCAACCGCTCCTACGTGGTGGACCCGCGCAAGCCCAAGGGCCTCGGCGGGAGGGTCAAGGACAGGCTGTTCCCCAACCGCCATCTGCCCAAGAAGAAGAAGATGAACCGCGCCCAGAAGGTCGAGAAGTACGTGGACTCGCTGGTGGTGGAGGACGAGATGGGCCGCGTCACGCCGGTGTTCGAGCGCGAGGAGGACCTCACGCACGACGACTTCGAGCAGAAGAGGAAGGACCTCCTGCAGCGCAAGCCCAAGAACTTCATCGAGGGCGAGGAGGAGATCATAGCCTTGGACTTCCCCTCGACGTCGGGCTCCCAGATGCCCTCGACGGCGGCGGAGGAGCGGCGGAAGGGCGGCCCGAGGAAGGGCGGGGACAAGCGCTCCGCCATGAGGCTGGAGGGCATCGAGGAAGAGGTCATCGAGAGGAGCTCCGTTGTCGAGGCGCCGACGAGGCCGGAGACCATCCTCTCGCCCGAAGGGTACGAGGACTACATCGGCGACGCCCTCGAGGACGACTACCCGGAGCTCGCGGGGACCACAGACGCGGCTCTGGACAACCAGCAGCTACAGATTCAGCAGCAACTGATCCAGCAGCAGCAGGAGCAGGAGGAGCAGCTGGCGTTAGAAGAGGAGGAGCGGCAGGCCCAGCTGATGTACGAGGAGTACCAGCGGCAGCAGGCAGAACCCACAGGTCCTCTTTCAGGTTCGGAATCAATGTGTTTTATGGATGACCACAGCCCCACCAGTAATGGTAACTGTGATTACTACCATAGATGCGTAGCTAAGTGCCCACATGAGCGGGCTAAGGCGTCCCGTGGCGGGGACAGCGTAGTTACCGTTAATGTGATTGGCCGCAACCCCGACGCTAGTGAGGTCGCGTGTAGAACCATAGATGACGATAATGTTACCTGTAGAACCATACCTGATATCCAAGGAGTAACCTGTAGAACCATACCCAATAGCCATGAGGTGACCTGTAGAACCTTTCCCGATAATACAGAAGTCTCATGTAGAACTATTCCCGAAGTCAATAACAGTGTAACCACTAATGCTATGTGTGACAACAATGTGCTGAACAATAACGAGAGTATGAATAGTTTTGCTACTCAGTTTAGAACTAGTTGTGTCGCTAGCGGTGTGACGGATAGTGTACGTAACGAGAAGCAAGTAAGAACTAGTGTCAGTAGTTCGACCAGTGCCTCAGCCGATTCCAGGAACAGCAGTACAAGCGCCTCCGAGCACAGTAGCATGTCCATAAGCACAGGTAGCGTGTCGAGTAACGTGTCGAGCGTGAACAGGAACAAGACGAGACTGTTCCTCCCCACGAGTACAACGAGCCTCCCCGAGATATCCGTAGAGCCCCCCACCCCCCAGGCCCCCAAGCCCAAGGACACCTTCGACCGAGAGAACAAAATCAAGTATGACCTCAAAGTGCCTGGTTACCGTAGCATGTTCCTCACTGTCCCTGGCTTCGACGACGACGACGCGGAGAGGTTCCTGCCGAGGTACAGCCTCGACAGCGACGACGAGGACGACGACGAGGAGAGCAGCAGCGAGGACGACGACGTTGTTCATAAACCCAGAGTGTTGTCTTCCCTCGCAGGTGTGGCGGAGTCGCGGGGCCTGAAGCGCTACGGCAGCAGCTGCGACATCTCGCGCTTCGAGCAGGGCGACGGCGGCGGCTACGACCGCAGCAACGACTTCAACGGGAACGTGGAGGCGTTCGGGCGCACGTCCAAGGTGGGCGGCACGGGCTCGGGCGCCTTCGTGGCCGGCAAGCTGGCCATGTTCGAGAAGGTCAACGAGGAGGAGTACCAGCGGTTCGTCGAGTGCCAGGAGGTGCGCAGGCGCGTGTTCCGGCCGCCCCGCAAGAGCGGCGAGTACATCGAGAAGTTCTACAGCCCGCAGGTGATCGACAACGTCGACGCCCGCGCCACGGAGAGGGGCCGCAGCCTCCGCTATTACGACGACGAGTACGACAGCTTCGACAACCCGAGGTCGCAGGCGTCGCCCACCCCCGAGAGGTCGCCCACGCCCGACAGGACGTACTCGCCGGCGGTGCGGGCGGCGTCGGCGCGGGCGCACACCGAGTACATCACCACCAACAGCGACTCCAAGAGCCTGCTCAGCGGCTGCTCCAGCAACGTCTACGCCAGCCCCTGCAAGGCGCCCCGCTCGCCCTCGCCCGTGCAGGACTACGGCTACAGCGACTTCGACTACAACACCTACGACTACGTAGGCGAACGCCAGAAGTCGCCCTCGCCCACCAACGACTTCTCGGACATCCTGCGGGACTCGCCGGCGCTGCAGACGAGCTACGACTTCGCGGGAACCAGCAGGGCCAGCACGCCCGTCGCCAGCGCCGCCTCGCCGCCGCCGCCCGCCGTCGCCGTCAGCCTGGAGCAGCAGACGGACGAGGTGCGTCGCGGCTGCGGCAGTAGTTCTAGTCGCATTTGCACATCTGTCTATCTGCATATATATATATATATATATATATATATATATATATATATATATATATGTATATATATATGTATATATGTATATATGTATATATGTATATATGTATATATGTATATATGTATATATGTATATATGTATATATATATATACACATATATATATATATATATAACACAATAATATATATATACACACACACACACGCACACACACACACACACACACACACACACACACACACACACACACACACACACACACACACACACACACACACCACAACACACACACAACACACATACACACACACACACACCACACCACACACACACACACACACACACACTATACACTACACACACGAACCGCCTAACTATAGCGGCACACGCACTACGCGACACCGCCACGCATTTCTCTCTGTCTCTCTCTCTCTTCTTATGCTCTCTCCTCATTACTTCTTCTTTACTACTCCTGCATCTACTCTCATGCTCTCTCCGCCCTCTGTCTCTCTCTTCTCTCGTCTCATACTATATCTTATATAGTATATACTGATATATTATAGGATTGTATTTAATATATATGGATATTTATATAGATAACACACACTAACCTACAACCTATACAATACACATCACCAATTACACTTATGTCATCATACTACATCTAACGACTTATATACACTATAATGTCATAGTATCTAAACGGTCAACTGAATGCATCACAATAATACACGGCACTATATAACATAATGCACTATATCACTACTAACTAACACGAATATGTCATATATATATATATAAATACCACGATACCACTAGTATATATATTTATTAGTACTATAATATACACATAACACAATACGGATACTTACACTAACTAACTACATGTACATACTAACATTTACACATACTACTATAACAACACATTGGACTTAAACTAAATTGATCTAAACAATATACTAACTACATCGTAATAAGGTCATATATATGAGCGTACTTAATGCCACATAACACAACGTATACGTTACTATAGACGTACACTACGAGATACCGGCCTGCTCTCTCGTAGTATACATATTACTTAACAAGGCTCAAATGGAATGATAATTAGTGTTTTTGAGGACAGCAAGATACTGCTTAGTGTAGTATATATAGTATGTTACCTTGATAATTCCAGGATTGAATACTATAAGCTGGTCTAGTGTATAATGGACCTATATTTTGTGTGCGTTTGTATATATTGTGATAACGAGCCTAACGTTACTCGCTGTGATAAGATAAATGTAGTGTTATTGTACGTGATCTATTTATGGTAAGCATAATGTAGGTCTTTGTAGGTGATGTTGTTTGTTAAGTCTGTGATGTGTATTAGCTTTAGTAAATTGTGTTATGCTGCGGTTCAAGGTTATCCTGTATAATAAAATGTGTATGACACATCTTGTTTTGATTGTTATTGTAGTGTGGTTATTTTTGTATTTCATGTATGGTTTATTTATATATGTAGTCTTATTACTATTTTATACTATCTTGTTATTATATTCACGGTGTGTACTTCCTATTATTTGTATCTCGCTTATTGTTATGTTTGTGTGCTTACTCCTTTGCTTTTTATGTCAATTGTTTTTGAGTGCTGTAGTGTTCTATTCATCTTTCTTTACTCTGACTATATTACTTCTGAGTGCTTTTATGCTATGTGTGTTTGTGTGTGTTCCTACCTTTTACTCTACTTGACTGTTTGGTCTCTCTACTCATCCGTCACTTACGTTTACCATATTATAGTACTTATTTTGGTTTGTTATGTTGTTAGATTCTGAGTATGTGCTCTTACTTTTCATTTGTTATCTCTCTATGTAGTGCGTAGTTATCTGATATTCTCTCTCATAACTCTTATCATTCGTCTCTTAAACTCTCTTACTCTATCTCATCACCTACTCGTCTTACTCTCTATATTCATTCATCCTCCCCTCTTCTCTTACTATTACTCTACGTACTTTACTCTTACTCACATGCTATCTCTCTCTGTATTACATCTTGTCTTCTATACTTGTATCATCTCTTTTATCTATTTACTGATCATTCGGTGTCACTTCATGTTACATACTCTGTCTATATTTTGAGGTACGTTATATAGTCTATGTCACTCACTATGTCTACTCTATATATTCATAGTATCTTGACTAATTGTACTTCATAGAGTGAATCTCCTATGATCTCCTGTCTCTGTTACCTCATGTTCTCTCTTATATTAGTTACTCTGTTACTCTTGTACTCATAGATGATCTCAATCATGTTCTACTCTGTCCTTTGATTACTCTCTGTTACTATCTTCTCTAGAGTCTACTATGAGTCTCTGGCTATGACTATATTAGTCTATTATGCACTATCTATGGTATTCTTACTTGTCACTCTTAGATATGCTTATGAGTTATTTATGATAGATTCATATTATGATGCTGTTACTGTCTATTGTCTGTCTCTGTATATCTGTCTTCATTGTATGTTATACATGATTCACAATGTCATATAATGTATTATTGTATACTCAATAACTAGCGTATATTTACTGTACTGTAGTCACTTTGTCATGTCTGTCTATTGTATACTTGCTACACATATGTTAATATCTTTTATTCATCAAGGGTAGTCTAGATTGGTGAACTGAATCTGCTGGTTCCATTGTGACCATGGTATTCGGTGTCAGTATACTTAATCTCATGTTGTCTCACTTGACGTCTGCAGAATAGTCTCAATACTAATTGCAATTAAATTGAGTCTTGTGCTCTACTTAATATCTCATTTTCAGAAACTTTAAAACAGGCCAATGATATATGTAGCCACCTTGCTTATCTCTACATCCAGGTGGAGTAGATGAGTATAGGCCTCTACTGTATTTCCTCACTATATTAGTGTATATTTACTATCCACATAAGGCCAAAAACAATAAGTGTAAGTTGTATTTATGCTTTAGGGAAACAAGAGCAACATGTCACAAACTTAAGTTGTGACCATCTACGTACGTGTTTTTTCCCATACTTCAGATAGTACGTATCACACACTTGGCGTCTACGTGCGCATCTAACATCTACTATATATACACAATAGCTCTTTACTCTATCAACGCTTCGAGTCATCTCATCTCGACTTCTCATTCTATCACATCACTTAGGCGTGATCCTTCTACCTTAGCTTACACTATATTCGTGCATACACTGCAATCCTGCTATGTTCTTGTTGCATGTAGCACTGGTGTGAGACTCGTCACATCACCAATCACTATAGAACACTCATCTCAAACTTCACGTCTTCGTCTCTATAAACTCAATCTCATTCCTTACCTTCACTCTGTCATTCACACTCATTTTATTGAATGTACATATGACTCTTATCATGCTCAAATCTCTTCTTACTCTTCTCTGCTTTCTTGGCTCTCTCATACTCTCTATATATATACTTAATTATATATTATATATTAATATATAATATGTATATGATATGATGAAATATGTGATAATGAATAATGATAATGTTAAATGTTATGATATGTTAATTGGATGATATATTATCGGTATTGTATACTCTGATAGTTATGATTTTAATTTTTGTAATTTAGTTAGTATATGCTATCATGCGGATATACTATACGTATTAGTTACTAAAAATAGATTTAATGAGGTTTATATAGTGTATAGCTATGTATATATGTATAATGTTAATATGTATATGTATGTTGATGGTATATGTATTATTAGTCGTTAATCATATTGTATGATGTATATAGATATATTTATCTATACACTTCTATGTACTGATAGGTACGTTATGATGGGTTATTAATACAGCAGTTAAATATTAATATATATAATATTATTATACATATATATATACATATCAGTATAGGCAATATAATCAGTGTAGTCCTATAATATATCTAATATATATATAAGAAACAGCCTGTATCTCTATATCTTCTACACCTACCTTCATACGCCCAGATTAATATAACAAGAAATACATATCTACTCCCTATTGACCTAATACTACCACTCCTTCTCAGTAAAGAGGCTAAATAATAGACACGAATATATTGATATAGATTTTGTGTATATATATTTATTAATTATATTATTATATTTATTGTTTTACGTTATATACGCATATTGTCCTTCTAGTTTCCAGCTAGCGTATTCACATATTTTGGCCACACGGATAGTAGCATGTTTTATCTTTTTATTTTTTTTATTTTTTGAAGTTAGTTGTTAGCTATGCATACTTTTAAGGAAAAATGAGCTATTTCATGAGAAAAATAATATACGGAATTTGTTAGTATTTTTGGCCTAATTCTCTTTTGTTGTCTATTTCTTCCTACTCTCTGTCTACCTTAGTTTAGTTATATATTCCTCTACTCACTTCCCATTTTTCCTTGTCATTCATTTACTTTACTCGCATTTTTTCTATTCCTTCTCTGTCTATTTTTAGCTTACTCTTTTTTAGTATTATTGTCTTCATTATCTTTTTCTCCCGATTATTCTTCTTCTTCTATCTTTCTTATTTCTTCTTCTCTTCTTCGTCTTTACTTCTTCTTCTCATCTTCTTTCTCCTTCTCTCTTCTTCTTCTTCTCTGTACTTCTCTCTTCTCCTTCTTCATTATATGTGTGCATGTATCGTATCCGTTCTCTTTATTCATCCTTCCTTCCTTTCTCCTTCTCCTTTCATCTCTTCTTACCTTCCTCTTCTTTCCTCATTCATTCACCTTCTCACACATATTCTCATGCGCGTAAATGTCATCGTCACTTCCATTCTACTGCCATCCTCGCTTGCATACCTTGCCCCGTCGTTGCTTCGACACTCGTCCTTGACTCACTCCTTCCACTATTTACGAATGATATTCCTATATAAACACATCACAGATTTTCTCTGTGCACCGCTTATGTAAACCATCGCCCTTCTCCATAAGACCGTCCTCCTATGATCTGTCTTCGTCTTTCCCTCGTTTGCCATGCACTCTCTCCTTTCTCTTTCTCTCTCCCTCCTTCTCCTTCCCGCCTCCGTGCCTGGGCCTCCTCTCCTCTTCCCTCGCTCGATACATCCTTTGCTCTCTCCCTCTTTTTTCTTTTATACCTCTGTGTTCCTTGGGCTCTTGCTTGGTTCTCTCTTTTTGTGTCTCTTTACTTCCTACTTCTTCTTTTTCCCCTCCTTCTTCTTCTTCTTTTCTCTTCTCTTTCCTTATTCTATTTTTATTATTCCTCCTGCTCTTACTTCCTTCTTCTCTTTCCTTCTCATTATCTCATTCCTTCCCGTCCCTTTCCCTCCCTCCTACCTCTGTCTTCTCCTCTCTCTCTCTCCCTCCCTACCTATCTCCCTCTTCCTCTCCTCCCTTATCTCCAAATTTATCTCTCTTTTTCCGCTTTTTCCTTCTTCCTTATGCAGACCGCTCATTCACAAAAGTCAAAGTATGTTTCAAACTTTTTTCTCCTCATTCGAAATATTAAATCATATTCTGGACAAATTTTCTTTTTCTTTCCCCTCTCCTCTTTCGTAATATACAACAGAGATAATTTTTCTTGTGTCTTCTATTGTCTTTTTGCTCCCTCCCTTTACTGACCTTCCTGCTTGGTTAATATATAAGTATTGACTAGGATTTATTTATTGAGTTTTCGTTTAAATTGGTCATCTACTCTTAGTGTATATACGCATTTCACTTTTCTCTTCTCCAAATTTACCCTTTAAATCCTCATACTCTCTGCCTACTTCCTTTCCCTATCTCTTTACTCATTTACACTACTATACTACTCCTTATTAACCGTTTCTCTTCTGTCTCTCTACTACTACTTACTCTCTCTATCTTCTTCTTCCATTCTATTAACTCTCCATTTATTATCTTTGCCTCTCTCGACTCTTGATTGCAATACTTCGAGCTCTCTTTCTTTGTCTTCTTTCTCTTTTCTCCTGTCGCTTAACTACAAATCCATTACTAATACTCACTTTTCTCCTTCTCTCATACTATCTTCGTGCCAAGACCTTTCAGTATTCGTAATTCTCTCCTACTGCTCATCTCTCTCACCATATATTTACCTTGTGTTGTGCTGACTTCTCTCTCACCTCGTTTCGTTACCTATTCATCTCGTGCTTTACTGTTTGTTACTTCTTCCCCTCTTATCTCTTCTTCATCATCCACTCCTTTCATCCAATCTTTAAGCAATACCTGAATTATGCCGGATCATCATATGCTATAAGCATATTCTAGTGTAATTAATATTATATTATATGTGTTGTAATATTGAGTTGCAATATTAAATATCAATTATCATTTCTTTTAGATGTGTGGAGTAGTATATTTTCATTATACTTCTTTTTCTTAAGTATCTACTTTATACTCAATTATCATTGTGATTTCAATAAGATAATTATATAATTGATAAAAATTGCATTATTATGTTACCATTATCATTATTCTTGTATCATTTTTGCACCGTTATCATTCCTTTAGCTCTTCTGTTTTACTCACTCTTTCACGCTCCTCCTCTCTTGTTCTCTCGTATCTCGATCATGTTTAATTCTATCACTTTTGCTCTATACTTATCATAGTTGAATACATTACTTAAGCTAGATTCATTAAAATTATGAGACAATTAGCCATACATGATAACATCGCCAACTTAAGGACTCGCATTTAGTGACACTTTACGTCTATCCCTCTGAGTCCTCACTTGCAACAACTACGAAGTGCTGAATATGCTGTATTTATCCCACAACATGGTTCTCTGAAACGAAAATATTAATAACTATTTTTGTGGACAAAACTCTTTTATTTTTCGACGTTGCTGGACCTGCCCCCAAAATGGCTCGCTTTTTTTAAACGTACGGATTAATAAACGGTAATAGTTTGTTAATCTGTTAATTCCCTGGCACAGATTTGGTTGCGCTGTTGATTGGGGCGTGTGTTGAAATCGGGTCTAATCTGGAAGGATTTTCGACACATTGTGATCGGATACGGCGAAATCTGGCGTTGATATCCAGGTCTCGTTCTCTGGCAGTATTCCGACTGGATAATTCATGGTTTTCTTTTTTTTAAGACTTGTATGACATCCATGCATAATTAACACCAACCGATAGCTTTGAAGTCAGCCTGGGCGCTCGCCAGTGTCAACCTAACTTTACTTTATCGCACAGTAAACACCTGGTATCTTAACCCTTCTTTATGGATAATGATAAGCCACGCATTCACCTTAACCACCCAACAACACAATCCAAAATAATCTACCCATTTACGTAATACTTTTCCTTAGCTCTTATGTTCCTACAACTGCCCTTTCTGTCGCATTCCCCTTGTCCATAAAACTGCATTTTTGCTGCATTTTCCCCTGGGTCATATCTCTGTAACTGCCCCCTCTACATTTCCCATTCCCTCTTTACTACAATTCCCCCTTCCCTCTCTCCTGCATTCCCCCATTCCCACCTCCCTCTATCTCTGTCTCTGTCTGTCTGTCTGTCTCTCTCTCTCTCTCTCCTACATTCCCCCTCCCTCATCTCCTGCACACCCCCCTTTCCCCTCGCCTGCATCCCCCCCACCTTCCCTCTGCCTCCACCCTTCCCACCTTCCCTCTCTCCATTCCCCCTCCCATTCACCCCCCACCTTCCCCTCTTCTCCATCCCCCCCTCCCCACCTTCCCTTCTTCTCCTTCAACCCCTCCCCACCTTTCCCTCTCCTCCATCCCTCCACCACCCAAACCTTCCCTCTCCTCCATTCCCCCCCCTATCCATCTCTCCTCCACCCCCCCTCCCACCATCCCCCTACAATCCCCCCTTTCCTCCCCACCATCCCCACTCACCACCATCCCCCCCCCACCACATCCCCCTCCCCGACTTCG